AGTGCCAGCCCTTGCAAAGTTTTAGAGGGAGGAAAGTACACGTGTGCTTCGAGTAGGGTAACACTTTTTTTTATTTTTATTTTTATTTTTATTTTTTGTACCTACTGTGTGTCAGGCACTTTATTTCATTAACTGGTTGAATACATGCACCAGGCGAGGAGGTAGATACTTCTGATGGTTGTTTCAGAAGAAAGGAGAGGAAACAGAAGTTTGGAGAGATGAGGACACCAGCCCTGCGGGTGGTTTAGCAGATTCTAATCCAGGTCTATGACCGGAAATGCCTGCAAGGCTTACATGAGTATTCTTCCCTTCCTCCTAGACGATCTCTTTCAGCCCTTTTATCCATGGAGGTCACTGCTCGGTGCATCATGAGGTTCGAGTCCTGGACCCAGCTGCTTAAAAAAACTGGGATGAGACCAGCATGGTTATATTGCTGGACTCCCATGGAGTCAACTACAGTTCCAGTCCTGGACCCAGCAGTTTAAAACTAACGTGCGGGCGAATGTGCATGCATGTCCAAAAATCCCTAGAGGAGACTGGAGGAGAAGGGATTGTGGCATGACCATTCTCCCTGTGTGTGTGTGTGTGTGTGTGTGTGTGTGTGTGTGATTTCTCACTTTCTCTCTGTCTCTCTGTCTCCCCTCTTGCACATGCATGATGGCAAAAATCTCTGAAAACAAAAGCGCCAGCAGGTGGCATGGTGGGAAAAGGTGCTAGACCCCCCCCCCCCCATGGCTGAGCACAGCTTGAGTCCTGGACCTGGAGGCTTGCTTTCTCCTTTCCCCTCTCTCTCTCTCTTTCTGGTCAGATTTCAAAAATAATAACAACACATGGAGTTAAATAAATAAATAATTCTTTAAAAAACAACCAAGCCAGGCGTGTGTGTCGTGTGTGTGTGTGTGTGTGTGTGTGCGCGTGCACGCGTGCGTGCCCAAAATCTCAAGAAGAAAACGGAGGAAAAGGGATTGCAGTGTGGCCATCCTCCCCCAGGGGGCGCTGTCTCACTTTCCCTTCTCTCTGTCTTTCTCTCCACCCATGCCTTATGGCGAAATTAAATAATAATAGTAATAATAATAATAAGTCGCATCAAACTTAAGGAGTGTTTTTCCATGCTCAGGAAGGACTGGGCTGTCTCCCTCAGGCGTGAGAACTCCGTCTCTAGAGCTATGCAAAGCAAATTAGGAAAGAAATGGGGAAAGTTGGAAAGTAGAATCAGCCTCCAGTGGGACCAGCAGGTGGTGTCATGGCTATGTCGCTGGACTCCCATGTCGTCCACTGTGGTTCGAGTCCCGGACCCGGTGGCTTAAACTCACACCGGGCGTGTGTGCGTGCGTGCCCAAGATCCCGAGAGGAGAATGGAGGAAAAGGGATTGTGGCATGGCCATCCCCCCCCGGGGGGGTGATTTCTCGCTTTCTGTCTCTCTGTCTCTCTGTCTCTCTGGCGAGTGCACGCACCCTATAGCAAAAACCTCTCCAGGAAAATAATCAGCCTCCTGCCGCTGTTCATTATCAGGGTTGCTAAGCCCCACTTCCTCCTTGGTCAGTATGTCATAGACCCTGGCCACGTGCTGTCTCTCTTGTTCTGTCCACTTCCTCCCTCTTCTTGTGGCCCCAGCACCCTTCCTCTATCCGGGTCCCTCTGCCCTGGCTCCTCCCCTGTGTCCGAGTTTCCTGGGATTTCAATGTGACTACTCTGAGCAAGAGTGGCCTTGGGAGTGTCTATATTAGGCTCCACCTTTCAGCCCACCACTGGAATTCACAAAGGACCGAACAAGGCTGAAGCCCCTCTGGAGTCCTGGCCTCAGCAAAACCAGGCTGATCATCCGGGAAATAGCAAATTAAAATAGTAACCTGGGGGACTAGCAGATGGAGTCATGGTTATATTGCTGGACTCCCACGTAGTCAACAGCGGTTCGAGTCCCGGACCCGGTGGCTTAAACTCACACCGGGCGCATGTGCCTGCGTGCCCAGGATCCCGAGAAGAGAATGGAGGAGAAGGGATTGCAGCATAGCCATCCCCCCTGGGAGCTGTTTTCTCGCTTTCTGTCTCTCTGTCTCTCTTTGGTGAGCACACATGCCCTATAATTAAAAATCGCTCTACAAAAGATATCTTATGGGGACCAGCAGATGGCATAATGGTTATGTCACTAGACTCCTACGTAGTTGACTGCGGTTCGAGTCCCGGACCCGGTGACTTAAACTCACGCCGGGCGCGTGTGCGTGCGTGTTCAAGATCCTGAGAGGAGAATGGAGGGGAAGGGATTGCGGCGTGGCCATCCCCCCTGGGGGGTGATTTCTCGCTTTCTGTCTCTCTGTCTTTCTCTGTCTTTCTGGTGAGCGCACGCGCCCTATAGCAAAAACTTGTACCAAAAAAGAAATAAATAAATAAAGAAATAAATAAATAAATAAAACACCAGAGCTCTTTGTGTGGCTGAGCGAAGACTCTGAGATGCTGACAAGTGTCTGGAAGTGAGGACGCATTTGGCATTCTTGCTGACAGAGTAATTTCATTCCGCTTGTATTTAACTCGTCTAAGTGTTTTACCCTTTGAAAATGAATCCCTAACAATCTACCAAAAATAAAAAATTGAATTTGCTATTTCATTTGTTATTATTTGTTGTTTGGTCGTTATTCTAATGATTCATTCCTTATAATTTTATTATTTATTATTTATGTTATTTTTTTATTAGAGAGATTTTTGCTATAGAGTGCATGCGCCTGCCGGAGAGACAGAGAGAC